GAAAGTTTACAGATATAATGAATGTGAGAATCCTGCGACCAATGATTGCGACGAAAATGCCATTTGCATAGATACCGACGATGGCTACAGCTGTCAATGCAAGCCAGGTTTTTATGATGGAGACAAAGATTCAGTAAAAGCTGGAAGAATTTGCATTGGTAAGTTTTTCTGCAGTCGAAATTCAAATAAGAAAAAGTATCTTTTTAAAAATTTCTTTCTATCATATCAATCCATGTTGATTTTAAAATTAAAAGCCTATTTATGCCAATACTCAAAAGCAAACAGAAAATTTAACAACAGTGTGATTAGATATATTTTTATTTTATTACTTACAAAAAGTTCAATAAGTAGAAAAATCATAGCATTATTTATCAATAAACCGTTTAGTATGGTTCTCTATTATTACGCAAAATATTAAATTGCTGAATTTATTTCACTAGAACTTGATGAGGAAATGAAAGTTATGACTTCAGAATTCACAGCACAGAAGTTCTTTAGTATATTGCTTGTGAAGTAATTGAAACTTTTAAATTACTTTGATGAAAGTGTTATGCATTTACTGAATCTTACAACTGCTATTTTAAATACTGTGAATACCGAAAAAAATCATTGCTATCATGTATGAGTGAAATGATGAATTTAGTGATTTATTATAGTCATCATCAACATACCAGGATAAAATTATGGCTTGACATTTTAAGCTCTAAGAACTCAGCAACCACATCATGCTGAAACGACGCCAGTGCCACCAAACTTACGTCCGTGTGGAACAAATTATTGTAACAAGGATCTCGGCGAGGTATGCATTGGTGGTGAGACATGCGGTTGCCGACCAGAACAAGCCCGAAGTTCATCTACTGAGAAATGCATTAATGCAATTAGAGTCAGTATTTTCATTTTCTATGAAGATAAACTGGAAGCAAATATTTTCGCTAGCATTATTTCCATATTTGTTAATTTTGTCGTTAGCCATTATTTTCGCAAGTTGTTATAGCTGTACACTGAATGAATAGTTATTCTTTGCATTATTACTAAATTAAAGCTGAGTTTTAGTTACAATAATGAGGGAAAATGCAAATATTCTTTGTAGGATTTGAAATAATTTGTAAGACTAATAGACCGATTCCAAAAAAGTTAAAATTTCGTTTTAATATGTATGAATTAGTTGAGATTTTGACAAAATTTTATGCTTAAAAATATGAATGCTTCTTACAACACTTTGAAAAGTTGAAAATTAAAAGAGATTGTCAATAATCTTTTTAGGTTCCTATTGAAATCCGTATTGTAAAGGAAGATGAAAACCGTCTACTGTACAGTAGTGAGTATAGTAAACCAGAATCACAACGCTACGTGGAAATTGTGGACAAATTTGTAAAAGATATCGGCACAACCATTAAAAAAACAAGTGTAGGACCACAATATATTATCACTGATGTCAATTACATTACTAATCCGAAAGTCAAAAACAGGTGATTGTTTTTTAAGCTGTTTTATTTTTTTCAGGAAAGTTTTATTTTGCAGTCTTATTCTTAATTATAAGTACAAGAACGGAAAAGCTCGAAGAGTGATAATACCTTAATTAGAATGATATGCTGCTATTGTAAATTTCTATAGATAATCAACTTGCTGAATAAAATTAAGGTTTTATAGTTTGAGTATAAATTTATTGAATTGTTGAATAGCTATTACTAAAGTGGAGGTAAAAAAAGAGGGAATATCATTTTGATTATTTTCTCTAATTTAAATTTTCTTGAAGAGTTTAAAATAGTGCATTTCAGTACGTGGGACAATGGATTATTAATTAACGCCACAGCTGATTTTACATCATCCGTAGATCAATGCCAGTTTTGGCAAGAATTTCTTGACAAGTTAAAAAGCGATAATTACCGTCTTGGAAACGGGAAACTTCTAACAGCAAGTGATTTGGATCTTCTAAATCCTTGCAGGTCGGTATCAGAGCTCAAATAATTTATTTGATTGATTTTCAACTTTTCTTGTTCAATTTTTGAATGTTGTTATCTCATTTTTTCATTGTAAGAAATGAATTACATTGTCATAAACATATTCGATGAGCATATAATATACTCAAGAATATTACTGCCAACAATCGTAGTTAGTATCTTAAGAATCAGAGTTTCCTTCAGGAAAGAAGAACATCGTGGATTTGCTTGTGGTAAAATGTTCTGTCAAGAAACGCTTGGAGAAATTTGCATTGCTGGTCGTTTGTGTGGTTGTCCGTTTGGAGAGAAACGTACAGGGCAAGGGGAAAAATGCCGTGCAGTAAGTCGTAAACGTGAAATTTCAATTTGGAAGGATTTCAAATTTGTAGTAACATAACCATTGAGCATTTGCAAATTTAGTTTAATACTTTATTAAAATTTACTTTTTTAAGTAAAGTGATATGGGTAAAATGTAAATTGAAAACTGTAAAAAGTACAATTGAATACAATTGAGGATATCATTTTTCGTATGATATTTTGTGATTGCAGCAGTCAAACTGTAATAGCATAAGGCAAAACAAGAAGTTTTTAGTAATTTTTTCAGCCTCAACAATTTACTATTTAGTCTTAATAATATGGAATGTATTATAGTTGAATCATGCCTGACTAATTCGAAATGTTTGTAATTATTGACGTGCTGCAGCAAACAACATATTTTAGAGTTTTTGATGACACAATTGTGAATTTTTTCTCTATAAGAGTTTGTTCTACAATAGTTTTTGATTAACTTTCAATTTAACTGCAGAAGATGAATTTGACCATTAGCTCAGGATTTACTTTCAGGTTGAGTCTTGGTCGCTACCTTTATGGGTGGTTCGGGAAGGTAATAAGGAGATAAATTATGATCAAAACCTGGCTAATCCTCACGATGAACATTACAAAAAGTTAGTTTCTGGTTTTGAAAAAGGAATCGCGGAGAGTTATGCAAATACACCTCTGCGAAACGCTTTTGTAAATGCTGAAGTTAACGATATTATGCGACCAAGTGATTTCATGAAGGTAACGTCAATGTTCGAAGACTTTAATATAATCAATTGCTTCTAAGTTATTTTCTGACTCGAATTTCAGAATTTTATTCTCTTTTCGGCTTGTTCTTCCGAAAAATTCATATGAAAAGCTTTCAGTATTTCTTTTAAATCTCTCTTTAGATTTAAAAAAATTATTGAAAGCTTTTCATATGAATTTTCAAAAATTTCAAGTGTTAGTAACATTAAAAGATTCATTCTCTTAACATCTAGCAATGTTAAACCTTTCTATTCAAAGATTACTGAAGCTAAATTTATTTTATTGCAGGGATGGGATAAAGGAATTTTATACAATTTCACGGCTAACTTTGTGCGTGGTACGGTGGCGTCACCTGTAAAAGTTTTTACTGATCTTTTGGATTATATCTCTCAAAAAAATAATTTTGAGGTTGAACAAATTTCATACAATGATCATTATTGAGTATACTTTTATTTTGGGAAATGTTAATTATAAAATGATTTCAAGCAAGAATTTGAAAAATTAAAATTTCTAAATGTTATTTGAAAATCCGTTAGTTTATGGGATGCATCATTTCACAAAATAATTATTTAGTCTGGTATTAAAAAGATGATAGATAATTAATTGTCAATTAAATGGCTTAACTTTTTTAAAAAACGTTGCGCACAAATTATATAAAATGTTGCCATTGTTTGGGTTATGTTTTGAAATTAAATAATGAAAACTGGCACGAGAACCAGATCTGCAGGTTGGTAAAAGTAAGCAGTTTATTAATTCCATGCAAGCAAATCCGTTTGATAGTTGCTTCAGAAGTGATTGTCATCCAGATGCAATTTGCACGCCAACATCAAGTGGTTACGAGTAAGCTAAATTTATGTGAATTTTACTTGAACATGAAGAATCATGGAAATTTGATATAATTTCGATGACATATTTATTGAAAAATCCTTTCACTAGAAGGGTTAGCTAGTATTGAGAAGAATATTTAACAAATGAAGTTATCGTAGATCAAAGTTATTTTTGTCGTAAGAAGTGTACAATTTTCACAAGTCCATGCATTCCAAAGTAACTTTAAGTTTATAAGGTGCAAGTGTCGAGATACGCATCGTGACTTAAACCCGTCAAATCCAGGAAGAAACTGTTTAAATGTCACTGGCGTAAATGAGTGCGAGCGGAATGAATGGAATGAATGTGATGAACACGCAAGATGCATCGATGAACATTATCTTTACAGGTAAGCAGTAAGATTTATGAATTTTTGTTATCAAAATATTTAAATGTGATATATTGAAGAAAATAAAGAATTTTAAGAGTAATCAATACTCAACCAAATATTTCAACTAATTTTTAATTTAATATCGATTACTGATGAAAAATCACCACAAGTTTCCAGATGTGAATGTGTCAAACCATATATTGATGCAGCACCACCTGATAAATTGCCTGGGTCAGTGTGTCGTCTTGATTACTGCTCGGATACTCACTTTTGTTCAGCAAATACAACTTGCGTTAGTCAAGAAGAAGGGGTACTCTGTCAAACTTTCAACATGTTTTTTTTAAAACAAATCTCAATAAAAAACGATATTGAAAAGATAATTTAGTTACTTTTGAACTGCAAATATTGAAACTGTTTTGAAAATAGCGTGAAAATAGTTAACAATGTAGCTAAAAGTTTTCAAAAATGTTTTTCAGGCTACCTGTGTATGTAAACCGGGATACACAGCTGTTTCAACAGATGAAAACATTCAGTCCAAAATTAAATGCTTGTTGCCGGAAGATGTAGATGAATGTGCTCTTGGTCTTCACAACTGTAGCGCAGTTGCAATTTGCACGGATCTTCCAAATGGCTATGAATGCCGTTGTCCTGAAGGGTCTGTTATTCATTGTTCAGTAAATTTACCTCTCAATTCGATACTTGCTAACACATATTTACTTATAAAAACCGTTTTCTATGATATCACTGTGCAATAACAGAATATCATTTATTATTTAGTAAACACATATTTCATTCATTATTTCAGTTGTAATTTTAATGCAGTAGTTTAAACTCTGGACAGAATTTTGTTTTTTTTTTTTTTT